CCGGGCTCCCTCACGCGTAACAGTGACTTGGAACGACAGAACGCTGCAGTTCTGACCGTCCTTCTCTTCCTTCTTCCCCTCACTTTATGTGCTGAGCACAACTTATATGGTCTGAAATATCCCTTTGGTCAGCTGGGGTCAGCTGTCCCGGCTGTGTCCCCTTCCCAACTTCTTGTGCCCCCCCAGCCCACTCGCTGGTGGGGTGGTGTGAGAAGCAGAAAAGGCTTTCACTCTATGTAAGTGCTGCTCAGCAATGGCTAAAACATCCCTGGATAATCAACACTGTTTCCAGAACAAATCCAAAACCTAGCCCCATACTAGCTACAGTGCAGAAAATTAACTCTACTCCAGCCAAAGCCAGGGCAGGCAGACAGGCTGTCCCAGGAAAAGTACAAATTAGCCACAAAGATCTGTTCTGGAGGTAAATCCACTCATCTTCACCAAGCTTTGCAATGAAAATGGAGTATTTCTGCCAAAGGGAGCACAAAATAGCACAAGCATTTGAGGGTCTAGTAGCCAATAAATTCTTCATTTGTTTTATTTGTCTTTTCCCCCAAAGAAAACATCGCATTTTCCAAGTAATGGATGTTTTCAGATGAACTGTGCTTGGCAAAGTTCCTTTTCTCGAGGTCACTGATAGAGTAAGGACATACACAAAGTACAGGACTCTTGCACTCAGGGATGTACCTCAAGGGATCTAAGAGGAACAAAGTCTCCAGACCTTTAAAGGACGTGTTTGGAGTTCTGCGGCTATTATTGCACTCCCTACATAAATCCTCTTTTAGTAGGCACTTTAAGACAAATATCTCTCTGGCATGAATAAATCAGCCACCAGTAAGGTCTGGACTAATTAGCACATCTATTCTAATGCACGTTGCACTTCCTCCAGGACTGGGGCCAGTGCATCTGGACATGCCGACTTACTGGCATTTAGCCAGGGAGGTCACTGACACGCAGGCAGATCGACAAGAAGCTAGAGATGGCTGTATGTGACTCTGATGTGGCAAACAGCCTGGGACTCCAGCCTTGATGTGTTCCAGGTCCCTAGACTTCTGGTTTTTGTCTTTCCATGTATTTGTCACAGGACAGAGCATGTTTTCCATAACTGCTTTTAGATTGTTCTTTCATTCCCACTAAGGCTGGATTGGGAGTGCACAGTGCTCTCTGCCTGGCCCAAAGCATGCAGGGTGAATCACTTCATCTGCTTAGTGCCTTTTTCAGAGGAAAAACAGGGTGCATGTGGGCTGAGAAGTGCTAGGTAAGTCTTTTGGGGTCAAAGGCAGGCCAGGTTGGGGTAGATGTGAATGTGACTGTGGACTGCTCCAGTTCTCCAGAATATTTCCTATGACCCATCTTTTTTCCTAGGCTATGGCACGCTACGTCCTAAAACTGCTGGGGGCCAGATCTTCTGTGTTTTTTTTGCTCTGTTTGGAATTCCTCTGAATATTGTTTTTCTGCACCGTGTTGGTAAGATGCTCTCACTGCTGTGTAAAAAGCTGGGGCAATTTCTGCACGAGAAAGGAATGAGAAAGGTAATTGGTTTTACTTACTCAGGCACAGCTATATGTTAATTATTTTTTTTTTCTCAAGATGTATGCTGGAATTGTCCTCTTTTGTATTTGTTCTCATGCTGTGTTAGATGTTGTGCTGGGAGAGAGAAAGAAACATCCTTCACTTGCAAAGCTGAACACACAAGGCAACCATAGAGGAGATATTCCAAGAAAGGGATGCTTTTTGTCTACTCATCAAAATAGCAAACACCCAGCCTCCTTCAGCAATCAATGGAGAGAGTGGGCGCCTACTTCTCTAGACACTTGACTCAGGAGCTGACACTCTAGGGAAGTCCCTGCCTCCCTTTATAACCAGTAAAAAGAGAGATGATTAAGCATCTCATCTTGAGGCAGCAAAAAGCAGGTGAGCTGTAAAAAGTTGTAAAAAGTAGGTGAGCTGTAGAGAATTCAATGGATACTGACTCATTGCCTAATGTGTCACCCCTCATTAATTATGCAGTCATTCTCTCACCACTACTGAGGAAGTGAGAATAGATTTTCTGCGTCTCCTACTGTAATTCGCTTCTAAGGACAAGGTATGAATGCTACAGACAACTCTGTTCAGATTGCTAAATTTCTTTCCATGTGGCAAACTTAAACTGAACACAAGGCTTGATCTGATATAGACTCAAGCACGTGCACAATGCACAAAGGCAGGAAAAAAATCACAGAATCACAGAATGTTGTTATTCAACAATTGCATCAATTTCCAGACAATCTGGACTTGTAAAATCCTCTCTATATGAACTATATTTGTGTCTGGCTGATAAGCCTTAATATATAACTTCTATACATAAACTATATTTGTGACTGACTGATAAATCTCTCTATATATCTCAATCATTTTTCTCCAGTCAAAGCTTCTTCATGACTGTTGGGAAACAGGATGGTTCAAAAGTCACTGTCCAGGCAGTTCTTCTTCAGAAGCTCATTTGTTAAAGGTCTTCTTGTAGTAAGGTATCCACTGGTTAAAAGACAAGTTGTTGAACTGATGCAATAATAAATAAAATTAACGATCAATAGTCTTGAAGATAATACTGTCAGAAAGGCTGGATGAGGCGCTTGGTGCTGTGGTCTGGCCAATGTGATTGTGTTGGGTCATAGGCTGGACTTGATGATCTCGGAGATCTTTTCCAGTCTCAACAATTCCATGTGATTCTGTGAAATAAATTTTTCAAGTCCATTTTCCCAGGCAAAATTGCATGTTCTTTAGGTGCCACACCTGAACAGCTGAAAACACAGCTCTCTGGTGAAAAGTTGGAAATAGTCTGACTCCAATAAAAGTAATTGGATAGGAATTCGTCCTATACTTATGGTCATTGGAAGTTGAAACAATCAAATAAAAGACTAATCTCTCAGGGCTACTGGGGACATGGCTTCCCTCTGCTCCCAGGCAAGACTAGGGTACTTTTAGAGGAAGAGCATTCAATGCCAATTCTTTGGTTCCTGTGATCTTAGTAGGTATTCCTAGATAGCCACTCATTTTGAATAGCCACAATTATGTTTGGCCCGCTAGTGCGTCAAATCATAATTATAATTGAATTGGTTTCTTTCTTTTTCAGAAGAAGATCAAATTTCTGACCCTTTTGTTCTTCCTGGCAACGGGGATCCTAGTTTTTCTGTGCTTGCCATCAGTCTTCTTCCAGATCACAGAGGGCTGGTCCTATAGTGAAGGGATTTACTTTGCCTTCATCACCCTCAGCACCATTGGCTTTGGAGATTATGTAGTAGGTAAGGTTGTTTCCAGGGAAGAGACATGGAAAAGCTCCAGGGTTATGACTTTATTTACCATTGGTTGACTGCACAGGCCACCAATGTACTGTAGAGACAATCTTCTGTCTCTACAGAAGAAATCTGAGTCATTGATTAATCTTTGCCTGGTGTAGTTCTGAGGGAAATATTAATTTCTTGAGGATTGCTTATGCTGACAAGAGCACAAACCAGTCTAAGTATAATGAAGCATGGTGCTTTGGGGTGCAAAGAAGACAAGTATTTTGGGGAGGGAAGGGGAAGTCTAAAGGGGGGAATTCAAGGAGCCTAGAAACTTGCATATACCAAAAAGGATCAGTTTGCACCAGTCACAAAATAAGGCATGTATCCTTTTTTTGCCATTTAAGACTTATATTTCAAAGTGGAGAATAAAGAAATGTGTGGTCATGTTTCAGAAGACATGGTTTTACATAGTAGTCTGAGAGTTAGAAATCCCAGTCACGGGAAAGTGAGGAAATGTACTTGCTCTGTAAGAAGTGGGGCTTAAACACATACATTGCTGCAAAAGTGGCATTCTTTAGTCTCCTGTGGATCACTGGAGGCTCTGGGTTTCCTCAAGCCAGAGTTTAGGATTTCCCCTGAAGACAAATTGTTTAAAATACACTCCACCATGCTGGAGTGCTTCTAGAAACACTTCTGTGGATCTGCTAACCAAAATGCAGTCTCTGTGGAATAAACTTCCAGAGGAACACCAAAATGGTCACCAGAAGCCAAATCAGTGTCCACAGAAGAAGCAATCAAACAGTTGGACTCCATGCAAGATCAGAGAATTCTCTATAACAACCTGTCCTGACAGCATCTTGCCAGACTGAACTTCTCTTTAGTGGGGATGAGAAGGAAGTTCTGAAGCTAATACTCGAGCACCAGTGCTGTCCCTACAGAGAATGTGGAAGCCTCACGTCCCTTTCCGATGGACAGACACTCACCACACAACAAACTCTAGGCTATCAAGCCTTGCAGACATGCAAGAGGGGCCTTGGAGCCTGGCTGGCAGCCTTGCTGTGTTTGAAGGGTTTCTTACATCAGGCTGGGGACTTTGGCAGAGAGAGCCCACAAGCTTTTCCAGATGCTGTTCGATGTTCCCTGCTGACCCTAATTTCTCTGAATCCGCTAAAGACATTGGGTAGTGCTTTGACGATCCGCTTGATATTTAATTTGATTGCATGAATGTAGTGATCACAATCTTGTATCCTAGCTGATGGTCAATTCACGCCATGGCAATGAGCCGATTAGGACACATTTCCCCAAGCAATCCTGGCCAGCTAACTTCTTCATCTTGCTGCAAAGCACATGAAACCAACGTCCCCTGAAATTGCCCTTTTACCATAACTCAGAGAAAGATTGTTTGTCTCCCACAGCCGTTAAGCTGTATAGCCATGAACACAACACAGAACTTGGGCCTCAGCAGAGAATTCATATCACACAACAAGGGCCTCTTTGCTCACTGTTTTGCCCAGCCAGGGCCAATCTTTGTCACTGCAGTGGAGGACAGCAGGGCACAGGCATTTCTTACCTAACCATCTATAGGACTGACAACCCTGGCACCTCTAACTTCAGTATGAGGAATACAGGAATGTGGAGACTGGCTAGCAGGAGATAAAGCGAATGTCAGAAAGGTGCATTCGTTTCCCTTGTCCAAATTACAAGTGAGTTTTACAATAATGACAGCAAGTCACAGCCTGACGACCACTACCTCCACAGCACTTTCCTCCTCTGCAGCCCTGGCATTTTACAAATATGGTTAGAAAAGAACAATTAGGTAGTCCTTCTGGCTTTGAGATTTTATCTTCATTAGTATGACTTAACCAGAGCTGAAATATTTTCCCCTGCAGTATTTACCTTGATTAGCCTTAAACAATGATGATAAAATGATAATGAGTTTAATGCCTCACACCTTCACAATGAAATAATCAGAATCAATGGCTGCTCTGAGTATTTTGTGTTTTGAATTGATCACAGATGACAAATGGATATGAACTTCCCAAGTGGAACAGAACTGTCTGGAGTTTATTTGCATTTTGGTAATTCAAAACTGGTTTGTAGCTGTTGTACTTGAAGCACAAGATTAAGCCTGTTCCAAGTAGGGAGACATCGTAGGAAGATGGATTTAACTGTTTGTAATACATGTACCCATCGGTGATACTCCCCTTGGGCTGTAAACCAAAGTTACACTCGCTGAAGTCCGGTTTTGAGTTAGCATCACAAAGATGCTACTAGTTGCTTTGCTAACCCCACATCATGAACGGCAGAGTGCAAAAGGAGATGCTTTGGATCAAAGTTGGCATCTCCTCTGTCAACTCAACTCCAGCAGGAGAAAAAGAAGCAACTGTTGGATACCTGTCCATAAGAACAAACTAGGCCACTCCTGCCCCATTTTCAAAGCTCTTGCATGATGGAGTTAGGGGGCCAGTTATCTCAGTCAGTTGAGCATGGCATTAACAACGCCAAGGTTGCAGGTTCGATTCCCATTCGGTCCCCATGTGTTGCCTGATCTAGTCGAGAGGTGGCATCCCTGGCGACAGGGAAGCTGGATTAAATGATCCCTAAGGTTCCTTCCAGCCTAGGCCATTCTATGATTTAGTGATCTATGCAGTACAGAACCCTGCAGGACTTGAGAAAAATTGCCAGCCTCCTAGCTCCTTCTAGGCAGCGTCACAAAGGGAAATGATCCACCAGGTTTGCAGTGATCTCCGGGTCCATGCACTTTGCTGTGTTATCTACAGTGACTTGTAGCAGTCAATAAGCAATACCATCAAGTTTTCCTGCAGATGCCAGGGCCATATCAGCTCTACCATGGTGATAACACTGTGTGGGACCAAGTGCAGTAGGAGCAAATGCTCTCTCTACGTCAGTGGATTGGTGGCGTCTGAAGAAGCAAATTAAATAACCCATGCAGAAAAGCGGGTATGTGATACTGGCTGATGCTAAGAGGTTTGGACTGCATGGAATAAGCTTTGGTCCACTGGTTTCCAACACAGAAAGCTGTGTTCTTGGCATGTGTCAATGAGTTCTCATCAGTCACCTTATTTTAATGGAGGAAGCTCCTGAAGCTGTTCAAAAGTAAAAGTAGGAATTGCAACTACTCTCTTTGCATGACCAAAGGTAACTATAATTTAAAGCAAATTAGGTTATAATCACACTTCATAGAAATACAGAGAATTCATAGAATCATAGAATGGCCTAG